AAAAAATTTTAAAAAAAAAAAAAAAAAGGGGGGGGGGGGAACTGAGACTCAAAGAAAAAAGATGTTTTCCAGAAGCTCTCAGCACTGGTTTAACTCTGCTCCCACTGAAGTCCATGGGAATTTCTCTCCAACTTCAGTGGTAGAATTAGGCCAAGTTAGGGCTTTTGAAAAGGATTTACAGATCTCATGACTGCCTAAGGGTCCAATCCTCTGAGTTGCAGAACAGCTCACCAGTGTGCAGGCTCAGGTGCCAAGTTCCTTGGCAATGCTGGGACATTTGCTTGTTATTTTAATATTTAAAGGTTGTCTCTTGTAAGCTCGCTCCCCGCATCGCTTGCCCTGCTGCTCTCATGGATTTAGCTGGCCTGTGAAAGACCATAATGAGTTGGATATGACAGACCCTCTGTGCTGCAGGATTGCTTGTGCTTTGTTTTCTGGGGTTCTGAAAGGCTGATATTTATTCCAAGAGCAGATTTTCACAAAACAAATCTTATTCTCCTGGGTGCAACTCTCCAAATCTCCATCAAGGCACGTGCTTGTGCGAGGGTGCTGGGGGGACTTCTTACAGAGGATACTAATTATGAAACATATTTTATCTGCCAGATTTGCAAATTGGTCTCAAAGTCACCCAAACCCCAAAGCAGCATTAAAACTGCCTTGTAACAGCAGTAATGAATGAGCTGCAGTGCATCAGACAGCAGGAAGAAAGGTGGCTTCCTGCCACTGAGAAGCTGCGTACTTTCAACCACAGGTGATACCAGGGAGTGCTCTGCACTGTCTGGTCCGAAAAGCATTTCTCCTCCATGGCAGCTTTTAGGAATAGAGAAGGTTGGTGCTGGCTTGGTAATTTTCCTGTGCAAGATCCAGTGTCAATGGCTAAGTGAGGGCTTAGCTACTGAACCCCAGGCCAGATTCAAAAAGTGATGGGTCTCTTACAGAGAAGACCAATTCCCCATGTTTACCTTGTCAAAATACTTCTGATATTTTTTGGCAGGTTTTCCCTAAAACAGCCCGGTGCTGCCTATAGGGAAGTGCAGCCTCTAATTAATGCTGTAGATCCAAATGTTGTCTTCAGGTTTGAAACAGGTGTAAGATGACTGGGATATATATCACTGCAGTAAATACAGTATGAATGCATATAGGTATCACAGCTGCTTTGCTTCAGCCGTCCAGATTAGTAGTAGAGGCGGTCTGTGATGGATGGGGTTCCCTAGGGTCAGATTAAGTGAAGATGTAGAATAAGTATATGCAGTTGTACAGACCTACCTTGGAAAGGCCAACAAAGCTCTGATCATAGAGAACCTACCTGAAGGCATTCTCACTGCTTTGGAGTGTGTCCCGAAGTCATCTTCAGAGTTGTTTGGAAGGACAGCCTGCCCTTCCTCCTTCACCACTTCTTCAAGTCTTTATAGCTTGGATGCAAGTAAAATATTGGCAGTCCATCAAGTGAGAGCAAGGTGGGAGCATCTGAAGCGGAAGCAGCATTGTTCAGAAACAGCTTTGGCTACCCATGCAATCTAGGCTCTTCAGACCTCCTTGCAAATCACATTATTTATGTTCTTGGAATCAGTTGGGAGGTGGGGATCTGCACTAAAAGACAGCATTTATGTGTTTCTCAGCCCTTGGGGTAAGTTTTGTTCCCTGGCCACGTCGAGCCAGTTTCCAGTACTTTTTGCTTGCAATCTAAATAAGCAGACGTTATTTTTCTATTGTATTTTTCTTAGTCTTTTGGGCCCATTCCAAAGCCCACTGAAGTCAAGGGAAGAAACTACCGCTGATTGTAATGGGCTTTTGGATCAAGACTTTTCCTTCCTCTCGAATGATAGTTCCAAGAAATTTTGGACAGTTAACAGCTCCATAACACTCTCAACAGCCAGATCGGTGCTGGCTCAGGCCTTCCTTGCCTCTGATACTGAACTAATTCAACATGCAGTATTCTGGAGCTTCCTATCTGTCCCAGCGCAAACATCAAATCAGCAGCAATGCTTTAAAGTTTAAAACAATGGGCTTGCTTTCAGAGTTAAAAGAGCTAGCACCCGCAATTCAGAGTTTTGGAGTGACCTTTTAACTGAGGAAGGGCATTTGTCCATAGATATGATATGCTTAACATTAAACTGAGCAAGGGGAACACAATGTCTGGAAAGAGCAGTTCTTCGCTAGGAGAAAGGAACGTCCGTAATAAAACCATGGCCTTTCCAAACCTCTATTTAAAGAGGTGAGGCTCACCAGAGCTGCTTTGTCAGCCTCCCCACACATCCTGTATGACGTGTGCCTCCCAACCTGGAATTGGAGAGACAAGCCAGGACAATCCCACGCTCTTCCCCTCGGATTCTGGTTTCTGCAGGGATGTTGTAACCAGCCTGTGTATGGTTTGAATTTGGCTCTATTTTAGTATCGAAATGCAGTTCAGATCTGTAATTTACTGCTATCCTCCCTAGAATAGCAGCTAATGTTTACTACCAGCTATTTCCTCTCTGTCAAAATAAAATACCCTTTAAGCAGGAACAACATTTCCCCCCTCCCAATATTATTTAAAGTAGGTGAAAAAGTGTAATGTTTCATTTGGTGGCTGCATTATATTTTTTTCGCTAGGACTTCAAACTAGACATATAAATGTATTTGGCATTATAAAGCCAGTCTGGTTTTGGCCATCAATAATTTAATTAGTTAGGGAAGGCTAAAGTCTTACTGGAAGTTGTATTGCTATTTGCAAAGCTGCATTTTTTTTAAGAATAATTAATGTTCAGGACACAGTTTTCTCCCAGTGACACTTATTTACTGGTACTCATTTTTCAAAAGCAAGTTTTAATTTCAGGCCTATACATTTGTATTTGCCTTTGTCCTTTTGCTAGAAAGGGCAAACCGTATGGAAAGGACTGAGAGTCAGGAGTCTGGGTTTCTCTTCCAGCTCTGACACCACCTGCAGCTTAAGACAAGAAAACTGTTAACATAAACTAACTTTTCCTCGGGGCCATCCGCGTACGATTGCTGGAGGGTAAAGTCTTCCTGTATATCCTCAAAGACGTCGTTTTCAAGCAGGCGCACTTAGACCACTTCCACATACACCCGTGCAGTCTTGGCTGGGGGAGATGTTAGACTGGAATTCACCTGGAGGCTGCCCAGTGCCCTTGCGCCTGTATCATGGGCTAGCAATAGGGAGACGGGGAGACAGCTGCAATATCTGGTTTCCACTGCTAGTTCCACTCTTGATTTTCTGTGTGACCTGTGGACAGTCTCTGTGCATTTCTTTACCTCCCTGTAGAACAACAGTAACCCATCTTCCCACCACAGGCGTGCTGGGAGCCTCACTCAGCGTGTCTTTGAGTTCCTTGGATAAAAGGTGCTGTAGAAGGGCTCTGTATACTTATTATAGCCATGATGCAGCTGGGGAACTTGTCACATTTTGCTGTCTACTAGCTCACGTGGTGCTAAACTACAAAAGCTTAACAAAGTTGTCTGAGTAGCTTGTTGGATCATCGTACGCCGGTGGCATTTGCAGCTCCATCCAGTCCACCATAACTCCAGAGCATTCCAATTTTCAAAGGCAGCTAAGTCCTATTTTTTTTACGTGCTGTTCCTAAACCCTCTGAGCCACTGTGTTTGAAATCGGTCATCCCTCAAGGAGACCTTTCCCCCATGGGGTCTTTTGCATTGTGGATTCGTTCGAGGTTTTTTCCCCTCGCACGATCTTCTCTTTCCACTTCAGGGAGATGGTAACTACACCTCTCCTCCCTTAGGAGGAAATGATGTGGCATTAAAACATTGCCTCACATTCCAGACGTGTGTTAGGCTGGAGCAATTAGCTCAGGGTAAAGAGAATCAGCAAAGACCCATTCATCCCTAGCACAACTCCATTGTTGGGTGATAAACCCAGAAGGGTTGAGAAGGGAGATACAAGAGTGAGCTGAAGTCTAGAAAAACTTATCTTTAATGAGAGACTAAAGAAGTTCAGCCTCTTTATTTTGTCAGAGAGAAGGTTGAAATGTGATTTTTTTTTTTTTTTGGTATGTAGACAACTGTTTACTCCAGACAGAGCCACCTTCAATGGCTACAAGTTAAAGTGAGGCATTTGAGGGTTTAGGGACATGGTAGATCCTTCGTCACTCATAACTGCTCCATCCAGACTCACTCGCTTTCTGTAAGATGCTGAGCCAGAATCCCCGGGCTGGATATAGAAAGAATTGGGTGAGATTCTTTGGCAGGCTTTGCGCATGAGATATCGGTAGACAGTTGTCCATTCTGCCCTTAAATTTATCGTTCCGTGATAAATCTCAGACCACAACCTAGGCTTCGCCTCGTTGGCCAGTGCTCCGTTTCCAGTGAGCTCTGATCCCTTGACAGGGAAATAATACTCATTCCTGTTCTCCTGCTGACTCGTGTTGATTTTGCTTGACCTGACGTCACGGGGTCGTAGGAGCAGACGGCACAATGATGATTTCTCCAGTGCATCACCGTTAACTTTTGTTAGTATAAGCAGACAAAAAAAATCTGAGGCAGACCTCAGACCTGAGGAGGTGCTGCCCTTCATAGTCATGCCAACAAAAGCTAGAGCCTGACAAATGTCTTTGCTGTTAGTACAGCGGCCCTTGTTGCGCTTGATGTCCTGTAAAGCAAACACCGGCCATCTAAAAACGTGGGTTGCAGTGGGTGAGAGGGAGAGCTAATGTGCTGGAGGAGGGGAGCTAATGGAGAAGGTAGAATCTGGGGAGTCTGCAAGGGCTGCATGCTGAGCCCATTTGTAAGCCACAGTCCTGCATAAAATATTACCAAAAGAGGGAGCAGGTGAAGCAGGATGGAGACCCTCCTTTCTCTAAGCGTCTGCAACTAGAAACCTGGTGATGATAGCAAAGCTCCAGAGCTGCCCACATGATTGCAGCCTGTGCAGAGCTGGAGTGCAGCTGCCTCTGCTGCTGAAAGCCCTGGTGTCACTTTCCCAGTCTCTGATGACAAGAGAGCCCAGCTTAGATCTGGAGCTGGGAGTGGCCCAGCTACTCGGGGCAGCTAGGCAGGTTCTCTGTTTGACTTTCCACCCGTATTTGTTTGCCTCCTTCCTTACAGTACGTGGTCATCCCAACACGCCGTGCAACCGCAGTGGCCTTGCAGAGCTTCACCTCGCACCTTCTGGGAGACGCTGGCAGCCCCTACCTGATCGGATTTGTAAGTGCACACCATGATGCTTGAGGGGAGGGGAGGATGTCTTTATTAATTGAGGGTTTGTAAAAGGTGTTTTCCAATCTGGAAATGAAGCCCTGCCTTTACCCATGGAGCAGGAACCCTGAGGTTATCAATACTGTAAGTTCCTGAAGATTAACAGTAATGTACAGTAATTTGGCCCATCATCTCACAGAGATAACTCATAGGCCTCTTCTTCCAGCTGAGCACCCTGGAGGCATATAGAGTATTTTGTAAGTTCCCATCTTTCTTACCTCTGTGGTTTCTATTTAAAAAAATAATTTTTGCTCCACCTAGCTCATAGCTGCATCTTTCATCACCTTGAGGCAAGTGAACGATACAATACACATTTACATTTATATCGCCGACAGCTCTCTGGTACTCTGTAAGACACAAAAAGTACAATTCTTTGCCTTACAAGTCGTTCTCTCAAGGGAAGCTCAATGCAGTGAGGAACTGAGAGGTGGGAAGAAACTTAGGAGTATGAATATGTATGATCTTACTAAATTTATGATTGACTCAAATCTTGTGGGCATTGCAGTAGAAGCGATTTTAGGGGGGATTTGAATGGTGAAAGGATAGTGTCTTGGCAAAACAGGAATTGGGAGAGGCTGTTTCGTGCCTGGCAGGCTTCATGGGAAAAGGCGTGGACGGTAGAGACCGAGTGTAATGAAGAGGCCAACGAGGCTAACATATTGGTGGCAATTATAGGAGGGAAGGGCTGAAATGCAGTCTTGGACCTATGTTTTGTCATATTGCATGTCAGGATGTGTGTGCACACAATTATGGCTCCCAAGCCTCACTGATTAAATGCTTTTCCCCTTTGCTTTATGTTGCCAAAAAGGAAGTAATAGTGAAGTGAAAAAAAGCGTAGATGGAATGAAATTCATCTGTAAAAAAGCTGCTCTGGTACTGTTTGGTGTGATAGAAAGATCTTTGGTTTCCTAAGCCAGTGTGCCAAATCCTAGAGAATCCATGAACTGTTTGACCTGCAAATTGCATAACGATACCAGGGTACTATGGGATGAAGGTCTGCCAAGCTCACTGCTATACTGGGCTTTCTATGATCCTGTCTTTGTTGAAGATAGGTTTTAATAGATACCAGACTAGGAAACTCTCATATCATGGGAGGTGCCAGCATCCTGTATTTTGTAGCTTCTTCTGGCTTGGCTCGGCTCTCGTATTCCCTGTGGCATGACGGCAGAAAGGTCATCTGGGGATTTTTCAAAATACAGAAGAGCTAATATTGTTTCAAATGAAAGAGTGAACCCTTGATTTCGCTGCTGAATTTGCAGGCCAGCAATTTATTCTTTTAAGTACCTGCAGGTCTCACTGTATGAATTATCTGCCTGAGTAAGGGCTATAGGATGAAGCCCTAGATAATAATAAAAATCCCTGTCAGAGAGGTATGTAGGCCTGGAGGTGGGGCAGGGGAGAGTGATTTGGTTGAGGGATGGGATTTTCAAGGGAGCCTCTGAGCGTTAAACACCTATCTCGTATTAACTTCCAACAGAGGCCGAGTGTCCAGTTCCCTTTGGCTCTTACAAGAATTGGAGCTTTAGGACATCACTGTGTTGGATGTGGTTAAACTATACCGAGGTGTAGATCTGTAGAGGGGGAAAGGCCAGGCAAGCAAAGAATATGGTGACCAAAGAGCTTACAGTTGGGGTTCTCCCTTCCATCCTCACCCTGGGGTGTGCGATGCAGTCTCCACGTTTTCTTTCTTTTAGCAATTAATGAGATACATTCCAGAGGAAGCTCCTTTTGCTCATGGAGGCTTTTGAGAAGTTCAGAAGCCCCCACTGATTGCAGCTGCTTATGCTGCTGATTTCTGGGTGTTAGCAGTTGGGATGCTTTCTTGAGTGGCTCCCTGGGTGACTTCAGCTACTCACAGCATTGCAGGCACTTGACTGTCTCAACAAGTTATCCCCATCTGTATCAGCTCCCATAAAACGTATGGATTTTAAGGGGGGTAGGTTGTAGCTGTGTTAGACTCTAAGCACTTAGGCAGACAAGGTTCTTTGGGTGAATCTGATCAGTTTTACCCAAATAACCTTGTCTGCATCTGGATTTTAAAGCCTGGTTCTGATGTACAGAAAGCACTTCACACTAAGGCCTGGTGATTTTTTTTTTTTTTTTTGGTCATTGGGAGCCCAAGTCATCTGCTTGAGTGAGAACTGGAGGTTGACTTAATCTGTCTTTGTTCCAGACTTTGTGGCAATGCAGACTTGGGCATTTGTAATCTTGCTCTAGGCTCAGGCAATTTCGTATTGCCAACCAAACTGCCCAGTGTGTTTCTGCATTTAAAAAGTGAGTGGGAAGAGACCTCTGTGTGTAGCTGCTTTCCCTAGCTCTTTAAATATTGATAACATGAATGCAGTTTTATCCTGGTAAAAGGCACTGAGACTGTCTTATGAAGTTGCTATGCAAATTCATTTGATTAAGGTGGTGGCTGTAATTTTTGTAAGAAGGTTTTACTACCTACCTAGCATTGGGGATCAATTATGGTAAATTGGTACTGGCAGCTCATTCATAAAACATGGAAAGCACCCTTGCAATCATTCACTGGGTGAGGTGGTGCCTGCACCTCGGCAATTGACTCCATATTTGCCAAGCAGTCACTTGTGGAATTTGTATCAATCCTGCTTGGTGAAATAGGGTCTGTTGCACTCCGAAGACGGGTGGCAAGGCTTTTGACAACTGCAGTGCTTTGCATTCAAGAACTTTTGCACTTCCCCACCCTTGCTAGGCACTTGATTATCTGTTTTGTAAATGGGACAACTGGAGCAAAGGTCTGCTAAGAGGCTCACCTAAAATCCCACTGCAAACCAGTGCCTGGTATAAAGCTCAGTTGTCCTAACCCCCTGCTCTCATGCTGTCATCTCTGGACCACGTTGCAAGCCCAAGAAGGTTCAACAAGTGTAAGCAAGAGCAGAAGGTGGTGCACTGTTAACTCGGGTAATAGAGCACAGCTGCATATTTCCACAAGCTCCCTCTATTCTGAACTGTATCTCTGGCTATGGGCTAGGGGGAGGCTTTAGAAGTGCCTCTAGGTTGGTGTGTGTGAGGATGTGTCTGTCTTCACGGCCAGGGTTTACAGCATTGCCAGACATGAAAAGCAGCTTTCCCCAGCACTCTGGCAGGGTCCTTTGATTCAGGAAACTCATGCAGACAGACAGCTTTCTGGGCTGCGCTCTTGGCACTCTGCACTCTGCACTCGCTCCCCCTCTGAGCACAACCAATGCTTTCCTCCTTCATCCTCGTGTCTGCTTCCAGCCCTGCCGGGGACAACAAACAGGCATCTGTGCCAGGGTCCCTCCTGCCTTTCATCTGCAAGGGAAATTTCATTCGCTGACAAAAGTTGTCCTCGCTGCCCTTGTGCTGCTGTCCCTCATGTGTACCTGGCTGCTTTACAGAGCTTTCCTGCCCCGCATCCCTTTCTTCTCCTGTCGTTTCAAGGCTTGATGGAGTTGGGTGTTCAGAGGGTCTTGCTGGCTCATGCTCTGTTTTTTTTTCCCCTGCACCTCCTCTCAGCCTAGGCTCTCCTGCATTCAACCGGTGCTATTACCCCACTGCCATCTCTGCGGCGTAACCTGTGAGATGCTGCTTCACGTGACTTCACACCTGTGCAGCGGGTGACTGCCCCTTGTGCTTTTTTTCCCTTGAGAGGAAGTGCCAGTGTCACATAAGGTTATAGCTGATCCTTCACCTGGACTACTCCTCCATGTATCTAATTAAAAAGCCTCCCTTTAATGCAAATGGCCACTACTACTGCCAACCTCATTTGAATCCCTGTACTTTTGATAGCTTTATCTCGACAGCGTGGGATGGAGGGGTGTGCCCCTTCTCCAGTTTGCAGGTGCGCCTATCTGCCTGGCAGATGGATGCAGCATCGGCAAAGGGCTCCTTGCCCTTTGTGATGATCTCTGCCTAGAACCACAGGGCCAAGGCGAGAAAACGGCAAGTGACCTCATGGTTCAGTGTAGGCCACTCTGAGCTGAGTGGCCGTTTTTCCCCCCCTTTCTTTCCTTTTTTTTTGTTATTAAGAAGGTTTGTGCGACCCTGAATAACTCCGGGAAAATTTTGAACCGTAAAGCTGTCATTTCTTCCCCCCCACTCCGCCCCATTATTTGAGTGAGCTGATAAACTGGATCTAATGAGCTTCCTAAATAGCAAGAATGCTAATTACTTTCCTTTAACAAGTAGTTAGCAGAACAGTGTTAATTATCACTGGTGCTGAGTTGCAGTAAGACACAGCAGCATTTGATCAGTCGCACAGCAAAAGAGAATGAGTTAACGCGACAACTGGGATACTTCTTTAATGAACGTTATAATTGGAGTTCCAGGTTCCACGGGCTGCTTGTCCTGGTTTGAAGTGGCCTTGTAGCAGACTAATTTTTGAAGGACTTTCTGGCCATGCACATGCTTATTAATTATGGATGGGAAGTCACTTTGTATGTAAGGGCCTGTGTATCTAGTGAGGTCCTCTAAGAGCAAGACCAAGTGAATATGAAATACTTTAACTATTCCAGAATAGCTCCCCATGTGGAGGTTCTTAATCTGGAATAAGAATGCCATGTTAGGGTTTCGCTTCAACCACTGCCAACATGAATTAAAACAAATCCGAAAGTTGTCCACACAACAAATTATTCTAGAGGAGTTCTACAGGTCAGTTAATCCACCTTGATAAAACTGAATTAGGCCAGCAGTGTGCTACATATACAATGTGTCTGTCATTTACTACATCTCCACTGCAAAGTACAGAGAGTTTTACATTTAAAGTGTTATCTTAATATAAAATCCTAATTTTAGCCCAGGAGTGAATAGCTCCTACCCAGGGTGCAGTGGCTTAAGGAGGGCTCTGCTTATAGGATTTCAGCTGCGTGCCTGCCCAAAGAATTAGTGCTAGGATCTCTCCTTTCCAACCAGCAACTCCTCTGTGCAGTCTCTTTCTGCTCAACAAGTTGTCTGTTCCTAGCAGAGCC